GGGGGGGAGGGAAAAAAGGTTAATAGGTTTTTTAAGAAACAAAATTTAATCAAATCAAGGCTCCCCCCCCCCCATTCCATTTGTAGAAGTAAATTTAATTTCAGTTTTAATATTAGGGTCTTCAAAACCCTTGATAGGAAAAAGATGGAGTAGGCCACATTTGGGGGAAGACAAATTCAGGAACAGGTTTCTGGCCAGTATTAATCCTTGAAGTGTTGTGTTCTCCCTGCTTCCAGCTCTGGTGTCCCTTATCCCCTAAATCCTTGATGGAGAAAAGCACATGCCACTTCCCTCTATTGCATTTTTATAGCAGAAAGGCCATTCCTGCAAACCTGCAAACCTTGCTCACTTTCACTGGAATGGTGGAAGCCCCGTACACTTCCAAGGGCCATCTCTTTCTAAACTGCATTTTTTGTATAGTGACATACAGTTATTTTCTTAAGAGAAAACCATATTGCTTTTAACAGGTCCAACTTTTGCTCTGTCTAGGTAAGTGTAGAACACCTGACGGTGTTTGAGAGTGATGACATTAGAAATGCCATGGAAACAAAATCTCATTCCAGGAAGGTTACTTTGATGCAAAATTTGTGAGAACTTTATTAAATGGTTTTGGTATATTTGGGAGGGGGTCAATAAAATTCTAGAGATGATGATCCTTCTCATCAAGAAGGCCAATTCAGCTTTGAAGGTAAAGGCAGAAGTCTAGAGCTCCCTAAAGGCCTTGCTTTTCATACATCAAAAGGCAGTTGGAGTAACTAGACCTAAAAGCTACTTGCACTAAAGAAAATTACTTGCCCCTATTGAATAATGTATAGCCAAGAAGAAATAATTGGCAGAAGAGAAAGAAATTGGCAGGAAGATCTTTATATTGATTTTCTTTTCCTTGCATCTAATTGTTAAAAAAAATCTTAGAATTGTTCTTTTTCTTACCAAAAATGCATCTTTGTAAAATTCCTTGAAGATGTTTACATTTGGTGCTTCTGTTATATCACCTTAAGGTTTGGAGGGGGAAAAGCAGTATTCATCTCCTTGATTAAAATGAGATTTTGTTCTTATCAAACTTAACAAATAAATCTAGGGGATCTGATATACCTGACTCCATTCTTTACAGACTATGCAGAAAATGGCAGGTTGAAGTTCACCTCCAACTGTTTCCTTGGGCTTATACACTCATTCTGGCTAGCCACTCTTAAAGATAGAATGCTGGGTGAAATCTATTCTATGTGAGTCTGTAAGGTAACAATTATTAGCTCCTTAAAACAGCTGGGGTGTCTGTGGAAAGAGTGAAATAACCAAATGGCTGTTCTTTTCAGACTTTGTTTAAATCTGAACTGTCTCAAAATGCCTAGCAGTTTCCAGACATGCCTAAAACAGTGGGATATATTCAGATATTGCTGGACTGGCTGTCATTTTGTATAAGATCTTGTTGCCTAAACTGCGCATCAGAATGCAAGTCCAGTCTTCCCTCATTCTGGATACTGTTATGCTTGGCTCCATATTTGCAACATCAAAACTGATATAATGCTCCTCCGAATAGATTCCATCTTGGCTAGACTTATTCTTGCTGCCTTTTTTCCTCCCCTGTTGCTGTTATTCTTCTCTCTCTCTCTTCCCCCTTTATTTCCTTTTTTTTTTTCCATTCAACTTAAGCAAAGAGTGATGTACCTTTGTGGCTTGAGTGGTCCTGGTTTGTGGGTAGGAATCTCTTCTTGCATGCAGTCAGGGAGGGAAGAGAGGTTGCGAGAAGTTGGGCTGGCTGGTTTTTGGAATCTAGTGTACCTGTGTTTTTCAAAAATAAAGATGGCAGAATTTGTTGCATCTCCTTTCTTTTACATCTCTATGCATGGTGATGTCTTTTCCTGCAAATAAAGCCTATCCTCCTTTAGTCGGTGTAGATTGTCATTTCATCCTGAGCAACTTTGACAAAAGTGTTGTCTTCCCTACTTATTTATCCTCTCAGGCGCTAATAATAAATCCTGTCCTGATTTACAGAAGCTTTCTGATGAATTGGTATCTGCAAACAGTACCTAGTCTAATCAGGTACATGATGGGCCTACCCATTTTGTTGCTATATATTTTCATCTTTCCACCTGGCCAAATATTTCACCTTGCTCTGTAGTGCCAAATAAGTCAACTATTATATAGAACCACTAGAGGTCTCCGGTTCTCCATAAGCTCCAAAAGAGCAAACTCTTTTTAAGCACTGAGGGATTTTTATCCCCTTGGGATAAGTGAGCTGAATTGAAGCAAAGACGGATCAGTCTGTAGAATCATAAGATGAATGATCTCATTCCCTGTCACTTCCTTCAGGTAAGAGACAACAAATAAAATGCTATGTGCCTGTTCAGATGAAGGGCA